GGGGGCACCCGGGACGGGATGCGGGGGACGGGGCGCACTCACTGCTTGTGGCACTGCAGCCAGCCCAGGCCCTCGCGCCCGCAGTTCCCCCGCTCCGTCCCCTCCACGTTGAGCTTCTCGTAGCAGAAACGCTCGGCTGAGCCTGGGCGGAAACAGGTGTCACCCACTTGTCACCCCCTGTTCCCCCCACCCGGCAAAGCCACGCCAGGGCCAACACTCACCACGGCCCCACAGCGTGTTGCACTGCCGGTCTCTGGTTTTGCAGCGCCCGCCGTAGCATCGTCCCTGGGGAGCAGGGAGAGGGCTCATGGGGCTGGAGGGGGCCTTGCACGCGCATGGCCACGGAGGTGGTGCGAAGATGATGGCCCCCCCCGTGCACAGGTTCAGCCCCAGGACCGCTATCCTGACTCCATGGGCAGGGGAAGGTTTGCGTGGTCCGGGATCCCTGTGAGCGCACAGCCACGGGGCAGTGGCCCCACACACTCGTGCGCTTGGAAGGTTTGCACGTCCCACGGCTGCAGGTGCACGCGGACAAGGGGGCCTTGCACAGCCCAGGGCAAGTGGGTGCACGGGAAATACATGCGGGATATGGGGTCCCCGGCCACACACGCGGGGAAGGCGCGTGGCACAGGGACCACAGCCCCAGCCTGCAAGGCGTGGGGATGGTGATGCGGTGCGGGGCTGGCTCACGTACCCCAGGGACCTCAGCTACTGCAGGAGCCAGCTCACCCCAAACCCCACATCCCTGCGCGTGTGCGTGGCTCAGCCACGGCTGCAGATGTTGGCATGGCCAAGCACGAGGATGCTGGAGCCCACAGGGATGTGCTGGAGCCCAAGGGATGTGTCCAACCCGATGGGACATGCCAGAACCCCACAGGCGTATGCCTGAGCTCATGGGATGTGCCCAAGCCCCATGGGGACATGCTGGAGCCCCAGGGGACATGATTGAACCCCACAGGACATGGAGCCCCACGGCATTGGGCTGGACTCACCTGCTCGTTGTCGCAGAAGTAGCCATCCAGCTTGTGGAGGTTGGGGGGACACTGGGGGGACATGGAGAAGGGAATGGGTGACGGCGCACAACCCCATGATATGTCCCCCCACATCCCCCCAGCCCAGCTTACCTGGCTGGAGTCCCCAGTGCAGCTCTCAGGGATGTCGCACTCGTTCACGGCCTCCCGGCAGGACACGCCACGCGGTTCATACTGCACCCCGGGGATGAAGCCGCCACCT